TAAAGGACCAGTGTGTATGATTCTGTGTCATCTAGCGGTTAAGTTTCAGATTGCAACTAACTGTCGTCTGTATTGACGACCCGAGAATGAGAATGGGCTGTGAAGTGTGTGTAGGAGAAACTATAATGGCCTCGAAACTTGCAAAGAATGTAAAAGGCCCTATCTAGAGTGTTTGGTTTGTCTATTCTGAGCTACTGTAGAAACATGGGGGTTCAACATGGCGGCCTCCATTGAAGGCAACTATAGATAAAAACAGCTCATTCCAAGGTAACAAAAACATGATTCCTATATGCAGGTGATTATACACTAATAAAAATGAATATTATATTTCATTCCTGCCAATAGATCCTCCTAAATGTTACACACTGGACCTTTAAATGATACATCTGGTGATATTCTCTATATTTTTGATCATAAATAAATGCTGTGACAAGACGAGTAGTGACTCGATCCTCCAAACTAGTGTTTCTTGTTCTTTATTACTCAGAGAGCCATTGTTGTCTTTGTTATTAAGTATTATTATCAGTGAGCCACACTGTTGCACTGGGTGACAATTCACAGTGACATACAAACTCTAATGCAGATGTGCAAACACAAAACCATGTACAAACTTCTCAAATCTTCATGTTGAGGCACAAGTTATAACTTCACACACATACAGACAACAGAATGTGCAGTATACATTTAGGGGCAGTGTCGCTGTGTGAGGGTGAAGTGTTGGAGCTATGTAGACCATGCAAAGGAGATCAGGTGTCAGTATTAATATCACAGAGCAGAGGAAGAAAATGGGTCCTGTGTTGGCTCTTCACTGTCACTTGGAACAAGAGTTTCACATCTGCATTCAATGACAAGAAAAATGTAATAAAGGAAAATAAAATATTAGATCATGAGATGGAGAGATGAGGTATCCACATATGCTAAGTTTTGTTTCTGGTTGTGATTCAGTTTTTCATCAAATGTAATTATTTCTTTGTATTATTTTTTTCTCATCTTTTTCCAGCGAGTGCAAACAGAAAAACCTTCAAAACCAGCGTGAAGCCAGGATGGTACTACTTTGGGAGGAAGATGGTGAGAGGACGTTCATAGTTTTTCAAGACGTTTGTCATTAATGTGAAAAGTGTTTCTAATTTGTTTTATTTTCTGCTCATTGATCCGCAGGATACGGCCGATTTCGAGTGGATGATGTGGTTTTCCACCTTCAGAGAGCACATCCTGTTTGCTCTCTCCGGTCATGTGCTGTTCGCTAAGATCTGCTCCATGCTGGCTCCACAGGTGCTTCTACTGACTGATTCATTGATTTACTGATAGAGCTGCTGCAGGAAGACGAACATAGTCAACGATGTAATTAAGCACTCAGGTTTAATGATCTGAGCAAAAACATTGAGCCACTGTGAAATGAAGTGGAAGAAGCAATCGGGTTCATCTCACTGTGTTGTTGTTACGATTCCTCTTTGTCACAATTTATTTTTGCAACATTACATTTACAACAGTAGCTTTTTATATCATTAGCTAAACAGCAGATGACAAATGGGACCAGGTGGAAGGAAAAAAGAGAGTCAGATGGAGGGATGAAGAATGAAGGAGAGAAATAGAAATGTAGCCCTATATTTAGAAAGATCACTTGTGACAGTTTGGTTTGGTTAACAACACTGAACCACATGTCGTGTGTCAGCTGAGTCTCGTGGTGATTCAGTGTAGATCGTCGCTTTGTGTGCACCGTGTGAAAATGAAGCAGTTTGGCAGAGTAAAAAAGTGTTTCTTAGTCATCAATTGACTGCAATCAGATGTTATTATCTGCAACTTTGGGGAGAAATGTATATTTACAGCTTACTTATTAAAGCCAGACACAAGCTGCATTATTAGATTGACTTAAAATATCAACATTTTAATGTAGTTGACTTTTTAGCTTTTAAAAGGTGTCCTTACTGCAGTTGTGGACGAAATACTCCTACAAGGAACTTTCGTTGTGTTGATTCTGGCGCCCCCCTGTGGACAAAAGCAATAGTGATTTCAATGGGAATCTGACCAAAACTGACCTGGTCGCAGGTATTAAGAATAACTATATAGAAACATCTTCTTTTCTGATGGTCTGTTAACCAGTTAAGAACTTCTTATAGTAGGTTTGAGTAAAAGTAGTTATGAATGTCTTATTACACAATGAAAAAGTAAAAGTAAAAGTCCTGCATGTAAGTTCAAATTCCTTATTTGTCACATGCACAACATTTACATTGAAGCTGTCGTTGGCAGTGTAATTCTTGTTCCTCCCAACAATGCTCATACAATATCTATAAATAATTTACTAAAGTATTAGCAGCATTGTTTGCATTAGTACCCTGTTTAAAGTGCTACATTCATAATAATAATTAACAGTATTTATGCAGCATTTTCCAATACAACTTAACCAAAGCGTATTTTATAAACTGATCATAAAGTAACTAATGCCTACAGCTGTCAGGCTATTTTCCTATAAAGTGGCATAAAATGGAAATAAAAGTCAAGTTCAAGCACCTCACATTTGTACTTTAGTACAGTACTTGAGTAGATGTACTCAGTTACATTCTACCACTGCCTTACTGCGCTATTGTTCTTGTGATGACACTTAATTTCCCTCCCACAGTACAGGTCTCTGGTGTACCTGGTGTACGGGCTGCTGGCTGTGTGGACCAGTATGGGTTGGACCTACATCACCCTCATCCTGTCCCACTGCATCCTGCTCTACAGCATCTCCTTAGTGAAAATCCGCTGGCTTTGCTTTGTCACTGGTCTTTGCACCCTCGCTACATTCAAGTGTGAACCCTTCGTCTCCTGGCAGGTAAACTGACAACTATTATGAATTTTAATGGGATTGTTTCCTTATTTCTCTTTCATGCTTTATTTTCCCTGTTTCTACCCTGTGTAGGCGGGTTTTGTGGAGGGGGACTTTGAGCTGCGTCATATTCTCTTCTATGGAGGTTGTGGCTTCACTATAATGCGCTGTATGAGCTTTGCTCTGGAGAACTGCGAGAGGAAAGATGGAAACTACAACATCCTGGAGCTGCTCAAGTACAACTTCTACCTCCCCTTCTTCTATTTCGGGCCCATCATGACCTTTGATAAGTTTTATGTTCAAGTAAGTTGAATTAGGTTTTTATTCCTGGTCTTAATCCAGCTACTCAGTCATTGTTGAACCTTGTTAATTTATTTTATAAATATTCTTGTTCTATGAAACATTACTTAAATACTCATCAAAACCAAAGTTGCCAAATATTTTTCTGTCTATTGATTAATCGACTGATGCTTCTATATACTGTTGGCTAGTTTAATAAAACAGAACATAATATTTGTATTGGCAATTTGTCCTCAAACTAAAACAAACTCAGAAAATCAGCCACTGAGGCGTCTAAAGAACACAGGGAAAAATATATCCGTTGTACAGGCAAGCATATGTGCTTTGTGTGGTTTATTTTACATTTTTAGCAAACAAACAAAGAACAACGACGTCTGCAGTCTCTCTGGTAAAAAACCATTAAACCTCCTCAGTGCCTGCCTGTCCTATACCAGACTACCCATATATGTAGATTAACCTTTAAAACAAAAGCATTAACAAGTACTCAAATTAACTAAAATAATGATACTAGCATTGTAATCCAGATGTTTTCTTAAATATTACAAAATAATGAATATAAGGCATAAAATAGTAAAGTAAAGTACAAGTACCTCAAGTATATACCTGTACTTGAGTAAATGCCTTACTGTGAGGAAGAATATGAGAATATATTCATAATGCTTACTGCTGTGTTCATGCCTGAAAACACCGGTGCTGATTACAAACAATCATTTCTGCATCAACAACAAAATCAGAGCGCTCTCAGTGAGCTGTAGCATTGAAACGTGGACGTCTCTGGTTTTGTGACGTGCGTCTGCTGCCCTCTGCAGGCCAACAAGTCAGACCTGACCAGGAAGGAGTGGGAGATGTGGAATATCAGCGTGCAGGGCCTGATTCACCTGGGAGTCATCCTCGTAGTGGACGTCCTCTTCCATTTCATGTACATCCTCAGCATCCCCTCTGACATGAAGCTGCTGAAGCACCTCTCGGACTGGGCTCTAGGTCTGTGCCACCTCCCTGAAATACCTATATTTATTCCGGTTGTTGTTATACTGTATGTTAAATTCATTAAAATGACAATATATTGACTGCATAATTAATTGTACTGCATTGTTTTCCAGTGGGGTTGGCTTACTTTAACCTGGTGTATGACTGGGTGAAAGCAGCTGTCATGTTTGGAGTCATCAACACAGTTTCCAGACTGGATCATCTGGACCCTCCCAAGCCCCCAAAATGCATCACTATGCTCTACGTGTTTGCTGAAACGTGAGTTGTGTTTACACAGCTTGACATCACATTTGGCTCATTACACTCAGCGCACAAATCTGTAATACTAAACCTGTTTTTTCCTCCACTCATAGCCATTTTGACAGAGGGATAAACGAGTGGCTATGCAAGTGAGTGTCTCAGAAAGATCAATAAAGTCAATTAAAGTCTTATTAATCTTGACAAACGTAGTGGTTCTGATGCTGCCTCATTATCCATAGGTATGTGTATGATTACCTGGGTGGGAAACACGAGAATGTGGTGGAGGAGCTGGTGGCGACGCTGTGCACCTTCGGCGTCACCATCATCTGGCTGGGACCCTGCGAGGTGGTGCTGATCTGGGCTTTCTTCAACTGTTTCGGCCTCAACTTTGAGCTGTGGACCGCCAAGTTCTTCTCCATGGAGCCCTTTGCTTCTTTTGAGGTTTGTGAGCGGAGGTTGCCTTCACATTTTACTGCCTTTTCAGTGTATATTAATAATGTTTTATTTACAGATGGCAATGTCAGAAGCAATGTCCCGCCGGATCAGAGCCATCTTTAATACTTTCAACTTCTGGTGCATCGTGTTGTACAACATCCTGGCCTTGAACAGTTTGGACTTCTCCAAGTTGGTCGCCAAACGGCTGCTTTTCAAAGGTGATTTTTTTTTGGTTTTGAAGAGGGTTTCATGTTTTGACTATCTACTCCTATTAACAATTATGTTTTTCTTACCTTCCCAGGCTTCCCTATAACCACCATCATCGTCATGTTCGTGACCTACTGCCTGATTCAAGTGATTAAGGAGAGAGAGAGGAGGCAGGCCCTTATTGACGATCCAGATCCTCTTCCTCCTCCTGCTCCTGCTCCCCCTCCAAACGCCGCCACCAGTCCGACCGGCGCTGCAGCTGTACCCACCGCCGCTGCCGCTCAGCCACTCGCAGATCCCAGCAAGGAAAAAGCCGAGTAGATATTTGAAGTTAATAGTGAAGGACAGCCAACAGGATTATCACCAGGCCAGATTTTATTACATGAATTGTGAATGGATGCTCGGTTTCTGCTGATGTAGAAAACAGCATTAACTGTAAATAAGTTAACCACCATTTAACTGTCTTTATACCTAAAAAGGAAAAAGTAGAGCCTAATGGAAGACATTTACTCAAAATTCCAGTATACTGTCTAGTAGCCACTGAACACTGTAGGGGATGTCAAACTAAATTCAATTTTTGTCAAACTTTGTCATTAATACAGAAAATAAACAGCAAAGATTTGTTCAAAGCGTTTTGTTTTGTGTCTTTATGGTTTATGTTTCCTTTCTGAATGAACTGTCTGAATATGAATGAGAGAAGTGGTATTTTACAGTCTGTGAGTCAGTGTTGCGTCCTGTCATCAGAGTTGTGAGGTATTTCTGTCATGTTACTTCAGCAGCTAGCAGCGTAATTCATGCTTGATGCCTCCACACTGGAAACTCTTTTAATACTGTCCTGTGGAACGGGTCTGGTCACACCTGTGGTGAATTACTACCTGGAGATAAAAATATTTTGAATACTGTATGAAGGACATTAGTATATAAAATATATGACATATATTGTTGTTTTCATCTAAATTCATTTGGTCTGAAGAGCTCCACACTGGTCTACTGAAACCTTTTAGCTTTTAAGGGTTCATTAATGTAATAATAGCATTTGTTTTAATAACATAACATAATGTAGTAACTATGAAATGTAATATATTTTCACTTTATGCAATAACATTTGTAACAATCTGCCACATTTTGTAATAAATTATTACATATTATGGTGGCTATTACAAAATGTGGGAGTTGTACTTTTTATGAACTGCATTTTAAATGAGCTAAAGCTTTTTGATGGTGTTTTAGAGTCAACCCTGCTAGAAATAAAGGCTTGAATGAGTTTCAGCATTTTACATTAAGTCCCCGAGATTGGCTGCGTTTGGAAGATTATAACAAGCTGATCTTGTTTCTGCTTTTATGTGGCAGTTTAGACTAAGAGTCAACTATAATATAATTAATTATAATAAAGTTAAAATATGTAATATAACTTCAATATAATATGTATAATATACTATAGATGATGCCATAACAATATTACGTAAATGTAGGAATAGACAGAGTGACACAGTTGCTATAATGACTCAGTTACACCCGAGGGGGCAGCCTCTTAATCCATCCACTCCTGAACCCCCCATGAGTCAGGATGGACATATTTCCCATGAGGCAATGGTTCAGCTGTCTGAGAGTGGGTGGATGTTCCTGGGGAGTGGGTAGGGGTGGGGTTTGAAGTGTGGATATTGCATTTCATGTTCCAGAATGAAGCCCATGGCTCCACACCGAGCACCCGGCCTATAAATAACCTGCCAGTTGGAGCTCAGTTGAAGGGTCAGGACAGCTGAGGAAGTAGGCCGTCCCGGGGTTCAGCTGGTGTGGGCTAATACCAGACTGACAGTGCCTCTGAATCCTCTTTCCAGGCTAGAAACTAGAACTGCTCTGCTATAAAGAAGATCCACTTGTTTGATTTGAAGCCCCTGAAAGGCTCTTCAAACTCAGGAACGATGGCTCTACCGATAAATCCCATGGATGAATCCAGGATGTACCAGCAGACGTTGCTCCAGGATGGCCTGTACGACCTGCTGGAGAATGACAAGCTGGTGGACTGTGTGCTGAAGATCAAAGACAAGGAGTTCCCCTGCCACCGGTTGGTCTTGTGTGCCTGCAGCTCGTACTTCCGCTCCATCTTTCTGTCCGACCTGGACGAGAGCAAAAAGAGAGAGATTGTCTTGGAGGATGTGGAGCCGGGTGTCATGGGTCTTATCCTCAAGTACCTGTACACCTCCAAAATCAATGTGACAGAGCAGAACGTCCAGGACATCTTCGCAGTGGCTAATATATACCAGATCCCTTCAATTTTCACTGTTTGTGTGTCTTTCCTACAAAAGCGCCTGAGCCTCAGCAACTGCCTGGCTATCTTCAGGCTCGGCCTGATGCTGGACTGTCCCAGGTTGGCCGTCTCAGCCCGAAACTATGCCTGCGAGCGCTTCCAGCTCATCTCCAGAGATGAGGACTTCCTCCAGCTGCTCCCCAGTGAGCTGGCAGCCATTTTATCCAATGACAACCTGAACGTAGAGACAGAGGAGGCGGTGTTTGAGACTTTGATGAACTGGGTGTCCCGGGACACTGAGAGCAGAGAGAAAGAGCTGCCAGGTTTGCTGGATTGTGTTCGTTTGCGTCTGGTCAGCGAGGACTTCCTGAAGGAGAAAGTGGAGAAACACAAACTGATCTCTTCAAATCCTGAGTTGCAGCAGAAAATCCAGCTGGTCAGGGATGCTCAGGCTGGGAAAATGCCAGAGGTTAAAAAAAGCAAAAGCAAGAAGGAGGACGGTGGAACAGAGAAAGATGGGGAGAATGAGGAGGAAGAGGAAGAAGAAAGTCTTCTTCCAGGAATCCTGAATGACATCCTGCGGTTTGGCATGTTTAGCAGGAACTTGATACTGATGGTGAACGACACAGGTGCTGTGGCCTACGATCCGACAGGGAACGACTGCTTTGTAGCATCGCTTTCCACACAGGTTCCTAAGAACCACGTCAGCCTGGTCACCAAGGAGAACCAGATCTTTGTGGCTGGAGGATTATTCTTTGATGAACAGAACAAAGAAGACCCACTGTGCTCTTATTTCCTGCAGGTAGGCAAGGCTAAAGATAAAGAAACTGATTTCAAGTCTATTGCTTATATACTTGAGTCTTTGAACTCCTGCAGCACTTCTGCCAAAGATTAAACAAGTAATAAATATTTATTTTACCTTCATCATTTCTACTGAAGAGACACTCATAATTTGTGTTACAACTATTAAAACACACCCTGGTATTCCAATCAGTAAAAACTGATGCTGAGCAGCCAAATTGTGTTTAAATCCACAAAACTTTATTTTACTTTCTTCTACATTTGGGGTGAATTTTGGAAAAATGTGGATAAAATGATTCATATTTTGTGTTTGTGGTTTAATTATTTCACTGTAATGTAAAATAGCTTCAATGAAGAGCTGTAACAAGCTGAAACAGACTATATGTATGTACCTGATAGTGTGGAAAATACATTTTATTAATGCATGTAGCTAAATAGGGAGAAATAGAAAAGGGAAGAACTGGATGTGTTTGTGTCTGTCTGCATGTGCCAGTTACATACAGTATAGATACTTCAGTTGACATAAATGTGACCCATTCACTAATGTTTGACACCTGTGACCTCAGTATGACCCGGTCAGTGCCGATTGGCTGGGGATGCCTCCCCTCCCGTCTCCCCGCTTCCTGTTTGGGCTGGCCGAGGCTGAGAACGCCATCTTTGTGTTGGGAGGGAGGGAGCTGAAGGAAGAGGAGTGCACACTGGACTCTGTTTTAATCTACGACAGACAGTGAGTACAAGTTAAAATTAATGTAAATTACTAAATGGACTGCTGCTCTCAGGACTGAATCCTAATTATTTACCTGTGGTTTCTCATTCACAGATCTTTTAAATGGGGTGAATCAGAGCCAATTCCCTATCCAGTCTATGGACATGCAACCATATCCCACAATGATGTTGTTTATGTGATTGGAGGAAAGGGAGACGACAAGTGAGTATCAAGTGTGATTAATTAATACCCATCTGTGGCAACATTGACCTCACCCTTATTAGTTTCTGTGTCTCTCTTGTATAAGGAGCTGTCTGAGGAAGATGTGTGCATTTGACGTCAAGAGATTTGAATGGAAGGAGCTTGCACCCATGAAGACAGCACGCACTTTATTAGGAGCCACCGTTCATAAGGACAAAATATATGTGGCAGCAGGAGTCACCGACACTGGGCTGACAGACTCTGTGGAGGTGTACGACATCGCTGCCAACAAGTGAGTTCCTCGAAATCAGCAAATAAGGCTGACAAACGT